ACGCAAACTTCCACCACTAACCCCCATCTTCCTTCAGTTGGAAGGATGCCAAGGACTCTCTTAAGCCATCATCCTCGATGCCAAGCATCTGGAATGTCTTCACCATCTGCTCGAGCCATTCGTTCGCTTTTAAAGGCTCTTTAGGATTCCCTAAAAACTCATCCAGATTCGATCAAAAGAACTCACTTTTTAAGAAAGATGGCCCTGTCTCCGTTACTTGGGCCTGGACTTGATTCTCAGCTCTGAGAATGTCCATGGATTCCCACAAAGCTCCGGCCATTTCTCTGGGCAAAGCGCCCATAGCCTGCTGACTAACCAGTTCGGCCACATTGGCCTGGCCAACCCTTTCCTCCTACACCAAAATTTCATTCGGTAATGGCACCTCCTGTCGTCTAGGCCTGCCACGCCTACTACCGCCACGTCCACTTTCTAACATCCTAATAAAGGTAACACTAGAAATTAGCACATTTACAAATGTGCCAAAGCTAACTCACTGACATCCTACTACAATGGACAACAATTAGTTCACTCCACATAAGCACATAATCACATAAATACATATGAATTTTCTTTCTAGATAATGATTGTCCCGCGACGTTGCCAGAGTTTCAATTAGAAATAGTAATGATCAAGTGCTCTTCTAATAGGACTTTTAGAAACTCGTAGACTCAATCGATATCTTAGAAATTAAATCGCATACCCATATAATCACATAAGCATGTTATTACATAGCATACCATACATACAAATATCTCTAGCAAGCAAGATAAACCCATTACGGTAAGAACCACTTCCCACGTACCCAAAGTATTCAAACCGGTACGCTCTAATACTAAGTTGTAATGCCCCGAAATAAATGACAATAACCCATATAACATGTTAGTTAAATAACAACACATGAGGAAATAATTATCTTCCATTAATCCCAATTACTTGCACAAAAAGGGGTAACATATGTAGGTATACATTCACAAGTCTAACCTTGAATCTATAGCATATGTTACATGATAAGGAAATAGAATGAAAGTTGAACAAATAAGGAATGCCCTAAAGGTTTGCAGCTTTCCAAGACAGTACTTGGTTACAACAAAATGGATTTAAATTCAATACAATTAAAACCCTAGGCTTGTACAAAATAAATAAAATAAAACAACCAAAATGAAGCTCTTGTTTCTAAGTCCTCCCAAGCTATTGCCTTGGTGGAGGCATATCATTAGCACCTGAAAATGGTTTTCCTACATAGGGTGAGCCAAAGCCTAGTAGAAATAATCCAACACAATATATGAATCTTAACAAAGATATAAAGTGATATGCATATGCAATGCTCATGCCAAAATATTTTATATTATTTTCCCAAAACCATGCCATGCCAAGGTTATCACAATTATGAAATCATTTCTTTTACAATAGAAAACAAGGTAGTGAATCACACTTTAGGAAATCTCAAAACAGTTCCAATGTACAAATATGAAATATTGCCAGGTGCAAATGGATGAGACAATAGTTTCAATTTTTCTAATTCTCATGCAATTTCTACAACAATCATAGTTATCCTCCACCGATAGCCCAAAACAGATATTTCTAAACATATAAACAATTTTCAATAAAGATAAACTTTTCAAATTTCAAGATGTGACTGATAATACATATCCAACTCCACCATCCTCATCAATATCAACCCAATTCCACATTTCCAACATCAATTTCATTTATCCTTTCAAAGTCAACATTTGATATATTTAAGGTAAAACCCCAATTTCTTTATAAACCAATTTCAATGGTAAAAAAATCCACTAATTCATGATAACTCAATAATAAATACATTCTCTTAATCATTTCTAAAAAGGCATTTGAGAACTCCTCTTTTGGAATCAAGCTAAACCCTAGGTTTGTCCTAAAATTCCTCCAAATCACAATGTTGTTTTATAAAGACAAATACCTAAGTTAAAAATCATAAAAACAAATGTGGAGAATCCTTACCTCAGGCTTAGAAGATGAGAGAAAGAGTTAAAGAACTTCAACAACGCCCAAACCCAACTTCATTCGGATCAAAAGGAAGCTCACGGCGTGTTCTACCTTTTTAACAAAAGGACACGGGTGAAGAACTCAAAGGATCTAGATATATTTGTAGAGAGAAGTAGAGTTTTAGAGAGAGAGAGGGGGTGTAGATCTAGGGCTTTTAGAATGTTTAGAGAGAAAGAGAGAGAAATGAAAAAAATGACATAAAAGTGGCTTTTTACGAACTGATATACGTGCAGATCGCTCAAGTGCAAGAAGTGTTGCTCGTGTGACCAAACATAATGAGTTGCATCGCTTGAGCGCAAAAAGCTTCGCTCGAGCGAAGAATACTAACTCCCAGAAGTTTTACAGACAAAAGACCACTGCTCGAGCTCAAGAAATATCGCTCGAGCCAACACCGCTCGAGCACAAAAAGCTTCGCTTAAGCGAAGAATACCACCTCCTAATAGTTTTGCAGACCAGAAAAAGTACTGAGAGTTCACAAAGGCCACTTAAGTACAAGAAGTGTCGCTAAAGCGAAGAATACCACCTCCTAATAGTTTTGCAGACCTACAAAAGTACTAAGAGTTCACAAAGACCGCTCGAGTGCAATAAGTGTCGCTTGAGAAAAAAGAAAAATTTTGGGCAACAACAGTTTAGAAAAACAAGCTACCAACTTGTTCCAAATGCAACCAACACATCCCAATAGCTAAACTCAAAGAGAATTAAGAGGAAACAAGACATGAACAACTATATCAGACAATGAAATCCGGATTCAAAACATCAAATGGGTCAGGTCTAAACCAGAATCGCTATAAAGCAAACGCAGAAAAGAAGAACGAAAATTAGATTATAAAACCAAATAGAGGACTTGTCTATTTATCGGAGAACTGTTGGCTTTTCAGAACAGACTTCAATAAGTAAAAAACCTGTTTAGAACAAAATTGAACAGGTAAAAACCTGTTCGGACATATTTGAATAGAAAAAACTTGTTCGGGTTGAATTTAAACAAGTAAGAACCTGTTCGGTTTGGATGAATAGGTACATTGGACCAAACTACTAACGTTCAGAAACGTTGCGGTCAATTTGGAATTAATTTTGAATTTCAAACCGAAATTCAAATTCCAAACAGTAAGAACTTAATTTTAAAAAAATAAAATTCAAATGTTTTTAGCCTAAAAAAGATAAGCATTGGGCCAGACAAGCCCAACCTAATCTCACACCACACACCCGCGCCCAAGCCCAACGTAGCTTAGCCTACCCACCAATCTGGATTGCAGCAGTGGCGTGTGTGTGCTTGTTTTGGGTCTAATGGGTCTAGCCCACTTTACTCATAACCTCACCCTTTTACAAAACTTGGGTACCCCTTGGGGCATTCCCCAAGATGCAAACCCAAGGTTAATAAACCCATACCAAGTTTTCTTATCAAAGTAATGTGGGGCAAACCTTATCTCCATTATTTATGGAAATTTCACCAAAACACCATTTTCATAAAGCTCATTTTGGCATCGATTTCCCATTCACCCAATAATTGTTTTGAGCAGAATCATTAAGCGACAAAGAACGTGTTGCCACATGGACCCACCAACTTTAATAGACCAAAGTTTAAGAAAAATCTTTTTTTTTTCCAAACCATTTCTTACAAAAACAAAATAGTTGTAAAGTAGATTATTTGTTTTGTTTTTGTTTTTAAATTTTTAATTTTTATAGTGGAAGATTTGGTTTGGTTTGGTTTTGTTTCAACATATCATTTTCGATTCAATATATTAGACTGTTTTTTTTCTTTGTTATTTATTTATTTATTCTTTAGAACCTCTTTCTTTGTTACTGTTGTTGTTGTTGATGTTGATGATTGCAATAGATACACAAAAATGTGATGACACAGATTTTCAACAGATAGTATTTCAACATATAAGAACAAAGAGAAACTCACATAATTTGAACAGATAAATAGAGAAGCCCATGAACATAGATTTTCAACAGATAGTGTTTAAAAAGATAAAAGCAAAGAGAAACCCACAAAATTGGAATAGATAGAGAGAGAAACCCATAGAATTTGAATAGATGGGGAAAATAATTGAATAGATAAAGAAAAAAGTTCAACAGATAGATATAAATTTGAACAGATAGTCAAAAAAAATTTGAACATGTAGATATAAATTTGAACAGATAGTCAACAAAAGTCAACATATAAATTAAGAAGTGAAATTGAAAACAAAATGTCCCTTAAAACAAACAAAATGACTTATTACCAAACTAAACTTAATGTTTTATATCCTCCTTAGCTTGAGCTTTTCAACAACTTTTTCTATAAAATAAGACTCGTCACTAAATACCCTTAAAACTAAAAATATCAAACTTAGATAATAAATGTATTCTAGTGATCGTGTTGTGCATAGAGTGTGCCCTTATTTTTGGAAAACTTATTGTGATGTCATTGATAGTTGAAATGCTTATTATTAGGAGGATCCATCATTAAATATTCAAATGAGTAATGTTATATCTATTGAATTTTGGCTTGTACGAATCGCATGAATTTGTATGTGTTGGTAGTCCGACAACAAGAATGACAGTCGCGATTAACAAAGATGACACCATAGTTGACAAGGGTTGCATCGGTTGTCCGAGTGATCGTCCAGACAGTCAACCGACATACACAAATTCAAGCGATTCAAACAAACTCAAATTTAGTGGATGAATCACTTTTGTATTCAAATTATGAAGAAATCTCATTCCAGAAATGACTTCACAATTATTTTTAAATTTATTAGTTACAATGACAAATATTGTGATTTAAAATGAAAAGTTCTCCAATTATCATCAAGTCATTTTGTATAAAAACATTTTTATTGGTCCCATTTCTCACATCTAAACGTGGGATTTACTGAGGGGTCGTTTGTTAATATTTTTTTTCTTGTTTTCTATTTTTGTTTTTTCATTTTTTTTTTGAAACCTGGAAATTGAAAACAAAACTTGTTTGGTATTTTGTTTTTGTTTAAAAAAAAATGAAATTGATTCAAATTTTTCAAAATTTTTGAAAACACAAAAAATGTGTTTTCACTTGTTTTAAAATAAGTTTTCACTTTCTCCTCTCACATACCACCTTCGGCCACTACCCACCGTTACCACCAACCACCAGCCACCACCTTCGTTGCCGCCAGTGGGTGGCAACACTTCGGTAGGTGGGTCCTTTTTTATCCTTCCACACCTCGTGTCCTCCAACAACATCTGACCACTATCTCCAACGGGAACTGTCACGACCCGTTCCCCGTACCCAAGGGTTAGGCATCGTGATGGCCAGTAACTGAAGTTACCTCCGGCCAATTCTTTAAACAAATTAATAAACGCAAGCGGAAGAAATATATAAATAAGGGTACTAAAATAATTATTGGAGCTTCTATTTTTATTACAAAAGGTATTGACCAAAAATGCCGATTTTTACATTAAAAAAATACACCAATAAAAGTGTTTTGTGCCTACCCCACGCGCTGGTCTCGACATGTCACCTGAAAGTGGTAAAAAAACTATAAGCTCATGGCAGAGTGAGAAATATTATACTAAGAGTATAAGGCATAAAATTCACCATGGATAATTTGTTGGGCCAAAAAGAGCTTGTTACATATAATACGAAAATCATTTGATATATAACATGTAATACGAAAATCACTATAACCATAACCACGGTACATCACTAAGTGCCAAGCACTACACTGGTCAATGGATCCACGACAAACACTGGACCACAAAGTGGTCAATCACTAAGCCCATGGTTATTTAAGTCCCCCAAGGCATGGGACCCACTAAGCCAATGGTTATTTAAGTCCTCCAAGGCATGGGACTCACTAAGCCAATGGTTATTTAAATCCCCCACGGCATGGGACTCCCGTGGTGGTACTTACAAAATATATTTTCATATAAGGTCACAGCCAAATATTCTTTAAGAGTAAAACAAACACATCCATGGGTTTCCTTTTTCACAAATAGGGTTCAAAAGATAAACCACGTAACTGAAATTCTTATAAAACATAACTTTTATAAATATATTAATAAAACATAACTTTTATAAAATAGATTTTGGTAAGTCAAAACATAAGTAAAATACATTTTAGAGACTCAAAATATAATATAACTCACCTTAACTTTAATACCTCAATCTTCCTTTACACTATCAAATACCTTTTAGCGTCCACTATTCTTTCCTTCCTTTCCTCTCTTTTCTTTCCTTTCTTTCTTCTTTCTTCTCTCTTTCTTTTCTTCTCTTTATTTCTGTTTCTTCTTCTCCAGGTTGATCAATCGTCCTAATTATAGGGACGAAACCCAATCCCTAACCAACAGGTGTCCAGCCACGCGTCTCTTTCCAGATTCGCCATTAATATATATAAATTCAATCTTATCCTAAATAAATATTTAAGATAATTATCCTTTGACCCAATATTTTAATATAATTATATAAATTAATTAATTCTTAATTGAATTACACATTATCACATACCAACATAAAATTAATTATTTATTTTATTATTATGTCCATTATTATTATTATTATTTATATTTTGACCCTTAAACTTTTAATAATTATATTATTTTACAAAATTACGCATAATAATATATAATTTATTATATATTTTTCGAAATGAGATTAAATAATATTAGTATAAATTCTACAGAATAATTAGAAATCTGGGTCGTCACAATCTTCCCTCCTTTTAAAATTTCGTCCTCGAAATTTGCCATAAGTGTAAGTTATCCGCTGCGCACTCTGATAAATACATATTAGATGATTAATCTGATAGAAAATAGTATCTAAAAAATTTTTTTACCAAAAATAACTCACGGTCTAGTTGTCAAAAATTGGTTTGGGCCAAAATGAGAAATAGGGAGCGACTTTAAAAACTTTTCACTCGTTTTGTTTTCGATAAAAAAAAATAAAAAAAATAAAAAAAAGTGAGAATACAATGACAGAATCATATACAGGAGATGAACTTTTCATTGATGGAAAATAATTTCAAAATTAGTATCTTTATAATTTGAACCCACTTTTAAAAACATCAAAATAAATTTTTTTTTCAATACTGAACTGAAAATTATATATATATATATATATATATATTTAATTATATTATAATTTTGAGAGAGAGAGAGAGAGAGCCATCATATATTCTCTTGATGTTTATTTTCTTTTTTTAACTTTAAAACAATGTTGTCCCTTATCTCCCCATGTGTGTGTCTCTCTCTCTTTCTAACTTTTTTTTTTCTCTCAAAAATGCTCTCAGCCAAAAACTCCCACCATTACCAAAACTCATTTTTTTATTATTATCTCTATCTCTTTTTCTTTTAGAGATCCCTTCTATCAACCACTCAATTTCCTTTTGATCAATGCCCATCTGTGAGCTCCCCCTGTCACGACCCGCTCCCCGTACCCAAGGGTTAAGCATCGTGATGGCCAGTAACCGAGGTTACCTCCGGCCAAATCTTTAAACAAATTAATAAATGCAAGCGGAAGAAATATTTAAATAAGGGTACTAAAATAATCATTGGAGCTTCTATTTTTATTACAAAAGATATTGACCAAAAATGCCGATTTTTACATAAAAAAAAATACATCAATAAAAGGTGCTTTGTGCCTACCCCACGCGCTGGTCTCGACATGTCACCTGAAAGTGGTAAAAAAACTATAAGCTCATGGCAGAGTGAGAAATATGGTCCCGACATGTCACCTGAAAGTGGTAAGAAACTATAAGCTCATGGCAGAGTGAGAAATATTATACCAAGAGTATAAGGCATAAAATTCACCATGGATAATTAGTTAGACCAAAAAGAGTTTGATACATAACCTGCATAATACGGAAATCATTTGACGTATAACATGTAATACAGAAATCACTATACAGCCATAACCACGGTACATCACTAAGTGCCAAGCACTACACTGGTCAATGGATCCACGACAAACACTGGATCACAAAGTGGTCAATCACTAAGCCCATAGTTATTGAAGTCCCCCAAGGCATGGGACTCACTAAGCCAATGGTTATTTAAGTCCCCAAGGCATGGGACTCCCGTGGTGGTACTTATAAAACATATTTTCATATAAGGTCATAGTCAAATATTTTTCAAAATATAAACAGACATATCCATAGGTTTCATTTTAAGCAAATAGGGTTTAGAAATAAAACCACGTTACTGAAACCTTTATAAAACATAACTTTTATTTGGTGACTCAAGGTATAATAAAACTTACCTTAACTTTAATACATCACTCTTCCTTCACACTATCAAATACCCTTTTAGCTTCCACTATTCTTTCCTCCCTTTCCTCTCTTTTCTTTCCTTTCTTTCTTCTTTCTTCTCTCTTTCTTTTCTTCTCTTTTCTTTTCTGTTTCTTCTTCTCCAGGTTGATCAATCGTCCTAATTATAGGGACTTTCTTTTCTTCTCTTTTCTTTTCTGTTTCTTCTTCTCCAGGTTGATCAATCGTCCTAATTATAGGGACGAAACCCAATCCCTAACCAACAGGTGTCCAGCCACGCGTCTCTCTCCACATTGACCATTAATATATATAGATTCAATCTTATCCTAAATAAATATTTAAGATAATTACCCTTTGACCTAATATTTTAATATAATTATATAAATTAATAAATTCTTAATTGAATTACACATTATCACATATCAACATAAAATTAATTATTTATTTTATTATTATGTCCATTATTATTACTCTCACATACCACCTTCGGCCACTACCCACCGTTACCACCAACCACCAGCCACCACCTTCGTTGCCGCCAGTGGGTGGCAACACTTCGGCAGGTGGGTCCTTTTTTATCCTTCCAGTCACCTCGTGTCCTCCAACAACATCTGACCACTATCTCCAACGGGAACCTTCAGCTACTTGTCACTACCGATCATCACATCCATCCACCCTCCATCTCCGACCACCAAATTTGACAACTCATCAAATATATTTTTCTATTTTTATTTTTATTTGTTTTCAAAAATATTTTTGTATACCAAACAAGTTTTCTATTTTTATTTTTACAAAAATAAACAAAAAAACATGTTTCTTATTTTATCTAAATTGAAAACAGAAAATAAAAAATGTTAAACGAGTCCAAAATAAATGCATGTTAGTCTCATTTCTTGTCTCTCTGAATTATTTTTGTATTTATTTATTTCTTAGGATAGAGGCTAAAGGAACTCCTGACCTCTACTGAGAAGACACATGAAGACTTTTAATGAGAAACAAGTCAACTTATTCGTGGCTACTATATTTTGCTACTGCATTTAGGAAAATTACAAGACATTGAAAAGTGAGAAAATTATTTACCTAAAGGCGGGAGATGCAGGCCTTGTTTGGTTTGTGTTTTCTAAAAATTTTTGAGAAAAATTCTTTACAAATAAGTTTTCAAAAGTAATCAAATCAAACAAATTTTTTCAAAAAAATTTCTCAAAACTTGTTTGGTTTACAAGTTTTCCAAATAAATCTCTCTCTCATACACATCAAATCAATCACTTTTTCCAAAATTCTCTCTCAAAATAATTTTTCAAAACATCTTTTGAAAAAAATCAAACTAAACAACTTTTCATACTTTTTATCTCTAAAACTCATCTCCCAAAATCAAACCAATTTTTGCTGTGAATTATTTGTACAAAAAAGTTGCACCCTATTTTTGGTTTTTTACATTGATTTGTAAGTTTTTCTTATATTTGTCCTTTGAATGTTATTTGACTCTAGCTTGATCTCTTAGTAGGGGTGCAATTCGGGTAGGTTCAGTTGAGTTGGAAGGTTGTTCAAACCCAACCCAAGTGTTGCTGAGATCTGCTCGAGCCCGCTTATTTACCTAAAGGCGGGAGATGCCAGCCTTGTTTGGTTTGTGTTTCTTAAAAAATTTTGAGAAAAATTTTTTACAAATAAATTTTTAAAAGTAATTAAACTAAATAAATTTTTTCAAAAAAATTTCTTAAAACTTGTTTGGTTTACAAGTTTTTCAAATAAATCTCTCTCTCGTACACATCAAATCAATCACTTTTTCCAAAATTCTCTCTCAAAATAATTTTCCAAAACTTTTTTGAAAAAAATCAAACCAAACAACTTTTCATACTTTTTATCTCTAAAACTAATCTCCCAAAATCAAATCAATTTTTGCTGTGAATTATTTGTACAAAAAAGTTGCACCCTATTTTTGGTCTTTTACATTGATTTGTAAGTTTTTCTTATATTTGTCCTTTGAATGTTATTTGACTCTAGCTTGATCTCTTAGTAGGGGTGCAATTCGGGTAGGTTCAGTCGGGTTGGAAGGTTGTTCAAACCCAACCCAAGTGTTGCTGAGATCTGCTCGAGCCCGCTTAGGCCTGAATTGTAACCCGAGATTGTCTGCCCAAGCCCGACTTGAGTTAAACCCAAGTTGCCTGAATTGTAAATAAATTTTAAATTTCTTTTTTACAGCTACATTATTAAATTAATAAAATTTGATTCTATTTAAATTTTTTTTATTTATAGAAAATCATTAATACCATCAAAATAAATAATTTTTATAATATGAGAGAGATGTTGCTATGATAGTCTTTACAATTTATGAGAGAATAAAAAATGTAGAATTTTGTATTACTTGTGTATATAATATATATTCAATATGATTTAATAATCAAAATTAATTTAAATATCATGTAATGACTAATAATTTATATGTATATTTAATATTTTTATATATCTATATATGTATAATTCGGGTTTCAGGTTGCTCGGGTTGTTTGATGTCTTTGCCCAAGCCTGTCCAAATTTAATTCGGGCTTTTGAATTTTTGCCCAAGCCCGTACCAAATTTGAAAATATCTTGTCCAAACCCTAAAATAATTTGGGTTGGGTTCGGGTTGCTCGGGTTGAGCCCACCCAAGTTGCACCCCTATCACTCAGTCTGTATCACGGGTTCTGCTTTACTTTCTAAATTATTTAACTTTTAAGGTTTTGTATATAAATTATTCATATAAAAAATCAAACATACTCAACAATTATAATTATATAATTTTATTATATGTATTTTAAATAAAATAGATAAAAATATTTTATTTAGCAAATATAATTAAATTATATAATTATAATTGTTGAATTATTTTAATTTTTTTAATAAATACTTAATACACATTAATTACAAAATAGATGGCTTAAATCCCATAATAAAACAGGGATGACCCCACGAACCCAATCTCTTGTTTTCTTTCAACAATTGGTTCAATCTAGGAGTGTAAAAATGGCCCGCAATTCATAAGCTGCCCGAAGCCCTCCGCGGCCTGGGGTGGGTTAGACCCATTTGGGCGCAGGCCGAGACCCCAGGCCTGGGCCATCATTTTGAAGCTCGGCCCGTGGGCCTAACCCATCGACCCACTTAAGGCCCACTCAAGGCTCTGCTCGAGCCGAGACTTAGTGTTTTTTTTTTGTGGAAAATAATGAACTTTTGCTAGACAGTGTTTTTTTTT